AAGAAAAGAAAGGGGTGGACTGTTAGAATATAGATATGCAGGCCTGCTTGTAAAGGCCTATACTTTAAGAACTTAAGTGTATTTTTATCACTTAGCTAGTTATAGAGGTATAAAACAAAGAAGCAAAATCACAGTCCACCTGTGTATGGGTCTTCTCGCACTAGGATAATCTGAGGCCTGGTTCTTAGGCTAAGGGCTTTGGCTAAGCAGCAGGGGCAGCCATAAGCTGGGAAGCGAACGGTCACATCCTCCCATTCCAAACTAGTTACATTGAAATAAGGTGGTATTGGGCTGTTAGGAATACAATCCTGTTCTGGTAGTGCCTATCGCCTCCAGATAAAGAGGGTTAAAGAAAACTTAGTTTGATAGCATTCTGTCTGGCAAGAAATCACTAATCAATGGTTGTGGTTGTGAAACCCTCATTTCTGTATGTTTTATCTTTATGGCCCACACTTTTCTATTGTTAATCTGTCTGGTTCTCTAATTGTTTCTGTCTGCTGTATAATTAATTTTGCTAGGTGTAAGTTAATTAGGGTAGTGGGATATAATTGTTAGAGAATTATGTTACAATAGTTTAGGATTGGTTAGACAGATTTCAGTAAAATGATTGGTTAAGGAGTAGCTGAGACTGTTACTATATAAACTGAGGTCAAAGAGGAAATAGGTGGTGAAATTAGAATCATGCTTGGTGGAAATTAACCCCAATAAACATCACATTGTCTTCACTTTGGACTTCTGGTCTTTTGCTGCTTGCTGTCTGCGTGACAAGAACCAGGGAAGTGGGAGAGTTGAGAGAAAGCCCTTTAACAGTCTGCAATTTCCTGTCAAGTTATTGCTAGTGACTCCTGTGGAAACCACCTTCTATAAAAAAAACGGTGAGCTCTTATCAAACACATACAGAAAAAAAAAACAGCTAAAGAGTTTGAAATATAAAGCTTTCGTTGTAACAATATCACTTACTCCCTTTCTCTTAGAGAAGAGTTTGATGGTATTAACTGTCCTTTTAGGCAGAAAAACGTCCGTTTCAATGATCTGGAGTGATGGTTGGTGTTGCTGATGGAGTCTGATCCTGTTCCCTTGTACTGAGAGAAAGGTCAAAAGGTAGAAAATACAGTTTCTGCCTCTGGTGCTGACTCTCACTTTAGCCTCACTGCCCAGCAAGCTAAAACAAGCCCAGCACTGTGCTCTGATCAACCACACTGAGACCTGACAAACTGTTACCAGACTCAGGCGATTTCAGGCATTGCTTTTAGCTTCTTCTCTGGTCACAGTCAACATGGATTCACCAAGGGCAAGTCATGCCTGACCAACCTGATTGCCTTCTATGATGAGATAACTGGCTCTGTGGATATGGGGAAAGCTGTGGACGTGATATATCTTGACTTTAGCCAAGCTTTTGATACCATCTCCCACAGTATTCTTGCCAGCAAGTTTAAAAAGTATGGATTGGATGAATGGACTATAAGGTGGATAGAAAGCTGGGTAGATTGTCGGGCTCAACGAGTAGTGATCAACGGCTTGATGTCTAGTTGGCACCCGGTATCAAGCGGAGTGCCCCAGGGTTTGGTCCTTGGGCTGGTTTTGTTCAACATCTTTATTAATGATCTGGATGATGGGATGGATTGCACCCTCAGCAAGTTTGCAGATGACACTAAGCTGGGGGGAGAGGTAGATACGCTGGAGGGTAGGTATAGGGTCCAGAGTGACCTAGACAAATTGGAGGATTGTTCCAAAAGAAATCTGTTGAGGTTCAACAAAGACAAGTGCAGAGTCCTGCACTTAGGACAGAAGAATCCCATGCACCGCTACAAGCTGGGGACCGACTGCCTCAGCAGCAGTTCTTCAGAAAAGGACCTGGGGATTACAGTGGACAGGAAGCTGGATATGAGTCAGTAGTGTGCCCTTGTTGCAAAGAAGACTAATGGCATATTGGGCTGCATTAGTAGGAGCATTGCTAGCAGATCGAGGGACGTGATTATTCCCCTCTGTTCGGCACTGGTGAGGCTACATCTGGAGTACTGCATCCAGTTTTGGGCCCCCCCACTACAGAAAGGATGTGGACAAATTGGAGAGAGTCCAGAGGAGGGCAATGAAAATGATTAGGGGGCCGGGGCACATGACTTACAAGGAGAGGCTGAGGGAACTGGGCTTGTTTATTCTCCAGAAGAGAAGAGTGAGGGGGGCTTTGATAGCAGCCTTCAACTACCTGAAGGGGGGTTCCAAAGAGGATGGAGCTCGGCTGTTCTCAGTGGTGGCAGATGACAGAACAAGGAGTAATGGTCCCAAGTCGCAGTGGGGGAGGTCTAGGTTGAATATTAGGAAACACTGTTTCACTAGGAGGGTGCTGAAGCACTGGAATGGGTTACCTAGGGAGGTGGTGGAATCTCCATCCTTAGAGGTTTTTAAGGCCCGGCTTGACAAAGCCCTGGTTGGGATTATTTAGTTGGGGTTGGTCCTGCTTTGAGCAGGGGGTTGGACTAGATGACCTCCTGAGGTCTCTTCCAACCCGAATCTTCTATGATCCTATGACATTTTGTGTTCCTCATGGTGGCATGGGGTTTGGTTAGTGACCCAAATTTAGGGCCTTTTGAACAAGCGGCTCACAAGATACTGGCCCTCCACACACACACATGAGCGCGCGCGCCAGACTAAAGTTGACATGTTTTGGCAATGATGTTTTGCATAGGGATAGAGATCAAAACAGGGCTGAGGTCATCGCACCAGGCTCTCAGTCATTTGAAAGTTCCCCCAATGCATGTTATACACCAGCCCTTTGGGAGAAATCAAATTACAGTGTTATCCGCCAAAGAGTTTGGTTCTTCTGTTAGGTGTGTCACCATGCCTTGGGTCACATGCCAAATAGAGTACACTGAGCATGCACAGATAGTGATTATAGACTACACGTTTAATTACAGCAGGATAGCCCAAGGCTACATGTAGGTAAGCCTTTAAACAAGACCCACCTCTCCCTGTCCATTTAAGTCCCGCGCTTGGCAGAAATCTGGAAAAAGTTGGAGAAAAAAATCTGTTGCTGTCCAGGATTTTTATTATTTTATTTGGAGGCAAAGTAATCAAAGTATTTTTGTAAAAAACTTGTCGTGAATTGGGTGGAGGAGTGGGGGAAATGGGGGGGAGAGAGTTTGGGGGCTGCACTGAGGGGACTGGGTATTGTGGGAAGGGGGATAAATGGGGATGGGGTGGTGAGAAGGGTTGGGGGACTCAGGTGAGGGGGAAGGACACAGGGAAGAAGGAATATGGGGTGAGTGGCAGGAAAGCTGGAGGAGAATAGTGGCAGGAGTGCCTGTCAAGTCAGCCTCATATTTCCCCCTTCTGTGTGTGTGCTAAGACCTGGGGGGCCTAGCCCCTCTTCCTACCTTTGCGTGTGTGCCAGGATCTGTCCCAGCAATGGCATCTGAGCCCCTTTCCTGCCCCCACTTGTGAGCTGGGATATAAGGGGCCTGGCCTCTCTGGGGGTAGCTGAGTCCTGCTCCCTGCTCCTGTCTATGTGTGCCAGCGTCTGGGGCCCCTCACCCACTTGTGAGAGCCTGACCACCACCACCCCCAACCGTGCATTCCCCCACGTAGCTGGTTCTGGAAGGGCCTGAGCCCCTCTCCCTAACCCTTTATGTGAGTTGGAATCAGGAGGTCCCTGCTGACCCCTAATGCACCCCCCAACTCTCCGACACCTGCTCCCAAAACATCAAAGCATTGACAGGCCAGAAAGCACATCTAGGGGTGAGGAGACAGCTAACCCCGGTGGGATCACACACAGGACCCCAGGACTGTAGCCACTGGACTGTGTGTGCTTCTAACCACCCTGTGTGACAGGGGACATTGCTAGAGGAACCGAGAGTGGCAAGGATGACAAAGGACAATCCCTTCCTGTTCCCATTTATCTCCTTGCCCAGACCCCAGTCACTCCTTCCGCAGTTAATAATAACCCCCACAATCTCCTGATGCAATTAGCCCATGCCATGCTGAGAGGCTGTAGAGCTGGGATCCCTCACCCACCGCTGAGACAGAGCTGCTTCTCTAGTGGGTGGTGGGGGCTGTTTATACTGGGATCACCATCTGCCATTAACACAGATTTGATGTGTGGAATGAGGGCTATTTTATAAGGGAATCTGTCCCCCACCACTGAGATGCAGCTGCCTCTGGTGTGGGTGGCTGGGGCTATTTACATAGGGATCTCTCACCTCACACCAAGAGACAAACAAAGAGACGGTTAAGGGATGACTTGGTTACCTCTATAAGTACCTGTATGGGCAACAAATCTTTGATCATGTGTTGTTCAATCCAGCAGAGAAAGGTAGAACAGGATCCAATGGCTAGAAGTGGAAGCTAGACAAATTCAGACTGGAAATAAGGCCTCAATTTTGCATGGTGAGAGTAATTAACCACTGGAACCATTTACCAAGGGTCGTGGTGGATTGTCCATCACTGACAATTTATAAATCAAGATTGGATGTTTTTCTAAAAGCTCTTCTCTAGGAATTACTTTGGGGCAGTTCTCTGGCCTGTGCTTTACAGGAAGTCAGACTAATGGTCCCTTCTGGCCTTAGAATTTATGAATCTAGATGCAACCACCTCTGGGGAAGGGCACAAAGGCAGTTTATAAAAGGAACTCTTGCCCAGTGCTGTAATGCAGATGCCTCTGGGGTGGGACAGCTGGTTGTATAACCATCATTTGCCGGGCAAGATGCATCCCCTGCCAGAGTATACCTGCTATCTGTATGGGGATCCCTTGCCCGGTTCTGAGATGCAGTTTCTGGAGTGGGGCAAGAGTTTATGGAGTGGATCAGAAAGCAGTGTGTAATCTGGCTGGACTCTGATGTGACCTCTAATGGAGGCTTTTAATGCCTTGAAGGTAGGAATGCGGGAAGGAGGGTCAGTGTCTCTGTTTGATGTCACAGGAAACCACATACCCAACCCCCAGCAGCTGCCGAGGCTGATATGAGGGGTTGGACTCAGGATCCCTGATGCAGTCAGTCAGCCCAGTGGGAAAAGCTGCCCCCAGAGCAACCTCTCAATCCACAGCTGGGAGTGTGGGAGACACAGGTAGGAGAGCAACCCCAGCAGAGACCCCCGGTGAGTCCATAGGGACGGGTAATCATCAGTGAGATGCAGTCACCTCTGGGGTGGAGCCGCTGTTTTTACAGGGAACTCTGGGTGGGGGGAAGCTGTTTAATCCGGGGATGTACCACTGATGGCATGGGGTGCAAGGGCTGTTTATACAGTGATCCCTCACCCGGTGCTGAAGGCACTAAATGCCAGATGTTTTAATCATGCTCCCCTCAAGCAGATGGCACTGGGGGACCTAGTTGAAGCAAGAGCAGGGGATACAGGCAGGCAGGGACTGGACGTGGTAATTACCTGGGGGGGGGGAGGCGGCATCTCCTCCTGACTGGACCAGCTGCTGTGGGTGTAAGGGGAGCAGAAGATACAGGGTTGGGTGGAAGGAAAACTACAGGGATTGATTCAAACCTTTTGAGTTTAGTCCAGTCTGGGGTATGGGGAGCAGGTGTGAGGGCGTCAACTCCTTGTAAGTGGTGTCAGCTCCCTGACACTGTTACAGCACCAGAAGGGTTAGTGTAAATGGTCCCCAGCGTGGTCAGGATGCAGGTGCAATGATCTCCTGCCTGATGGGACAGAGAGCACTGGGCAGCAAGGGAGCCCTTGTTCTTAGAGCTAGTATCTGCTCAGGGGACCCAACGCTGTGGCACCACCAGCCGCATTACTGTAGATGGGACCACTGTGGTATATCGCCCTGGGAGTTGTCCCCCAGCACTCCAGACTGGGGAGTCACACGTCTCAGTTAGTATTCACAGGGTTGCTGTATTGTTGCAGTCTGAGCTGGTTAGTGTAGACATGCCCTGTGATGTCGGTGCCCTGAGCATGCTCTTGACCTCCCCTGCAGACCATGCTGTGCCCCACCTCACCTCACCTAGCCCTCCTAGCCCTGCTCTCTGTGGCTGGCGCTGTGGGTCCGGGGGAGCCATGCCAGTCCGAGATGAACCTGATCAAGGATCAACTGCAGGTCAACTGCTCCGGGCAGGGGCTCAGAGTGGTGCCACCTGCCCTGCCCAAGAACACCGGCATCCTGCTGCTCAGCACCAACCGCCTGGCGTCCGTCTCCACTGCCTCCTTCCAGCACCTCCCTGAGCTGGCTGAGCTGGACCTGTCAGGCAACGGCCTGGGTGCGCTGCACACTGGGCCCCCCCTGCCCTCGCTGCAGGAGCTAGTCCTGTCCCACAATGCCCTGGGGGTCCTGCCCACCCTGCAGGGCCTGCCTGCCCTCACCCGCCTGGCCCTGGCTCACAACAACATTTCAGCGCTGCTGCCAGGGGCCTTCCGGGCTGTGGGGCAGCTGAAGGATCTGAATCTACGGGGGAACCAGCTGCGGACGCTGCCAGAAGAGGTCTTTGAGGGCCTGGCTGGGTTGAAGGACCTGGATCTGTCTGATAACGCCCTGGACGAGCTGCCACGGGGGCTGTTGACTGGGCTGGAGCTGGAGACACTGAGGCTGTCAGGGAACCAGCTCCGCACTCTGCCCAGCGGCTTCTTTCCCGAGGAGCACACGTTCGCCTTCGTCTTCCTGGCAGGGAACCCCTGGCGCTGTGACTGTGGGCTGGCCTATCTGCGGGGCTGGATTGCGGACAATGACTTCAGCGTCTACACCCAGGAGCAGAGGTCAGAAGGGCTGCAGATCGAGAATGATCCCCGCAGCCCCGTGTGCGATGCGCCCCTCAGACACCGAGGGAGCCCCGTCCTCGAGTTCAAACAGGCCTGCGGCAAAGCAGGGGACGCGGACTTGGATATTGATGGGACAATGACAGAGGAGGGAATCCCTGTGCCCTCCGCTACTGCCCCCTCCGCCACCCAGCCCCCAACCACTCCCGTGCCCCTCACTACTGCCCCCTCCGCCACCCTGCCCCCAACCACTCCCGTGCCCCTCACTACTGCCCTCTCCGCCACCCTGCCCCCAACCACTCCCGTGCCCCCCACTACTGCCACCTCCACCACTCTGCCCCCAACCACTCCCGTGTCCCCCACTACTGCCCCCTCCACCACCCTGCCCCCAACCACTCCCGTGCCCCCCACTACTGCCCCCTCCACCACCCTACCCCCAACCACACGTGTGCCCCCCACTACTGCCCCAGAACCTGCATCCCCAGCACCCCCACGGCTCCCCAGCACCCCCAGGACTCCCACCACCACCACCCTTATCCCCTCGCCTCCCTTCCATACCAGCCCTCTCCACATCAACCCCTGCCACCAGCCACCCCCTCCAACGGGGGCTCCCCGCCTCTGCGTGTGTCCCACCCCACCCCCAGCGATGCCCGTGGCTGGGCGTCAGCAGGGCAGGGAGGGCCCAGTGTGGGGCCACTGGGTGCTCACCCACTGCTGCCTGCTGCACCTGATGCTCTACCTGGCCTCCTTGCTGCTGCTGCTACTGCCCATGGTGGCTCTCATGGGCTGGATGAGCTGGGTATATCTGAGCTGGTATCGCCCAGCTCTGAGGGGTCCCCCAGGGGCACGGCTGGTGCGGTACCAGCTGCTGAGAAAGGGGGGAGCTGGCAGCGCCCACCATGATGCATCTCAGCAGCTTCAAGAGCCCCACCGAGCCCCCGACCTTCCGCACCACCAGAGAGCTGCAGATTCACCGTGACCCCCCTATGCCCTCCTTCCGCCGTGTTACCAGGAGGCTGCTGAGTGTGGGGGGGCTGGGCCCCTGGCGGGCTCCCTCTGCCTACAGCCTAGACAGGGGGGAAGCAGCTATTGGGGCTGTCAGGGTGAAATATGCAACCACCACCCTCTAAGGGGGGCAGGACACCTGGGTTCTATTGCTGGGGCTGGGGAGGAGGGTCCTGTGAGCTAGGGCAGGGGGTGCTGGTCGCCAGGACGCCTGGGTTCTAGTTCCGGTTCTGTTGCTGTGACCATACCCACTGTGCACCGGGGACAAGATTCCTCCCACTGCTGCAGTACCTGGGAGGCTCCCTTAATATATGTAGAACCCAGGAGTCCTGACTCCCAGATGCCCCTCCTGTCTCAGACCAATGGGACCTTCTAACCCTGTATCTCCCGCACGCACACACCTGTTGCAGAGGCCAGATCTGGAATAACTGTCCAGAAGGACAGTTTGCCCCTAAAACCAGGCACTTCAGGGCTGGCTTGTGCCCTGGCAGAGCCCTGTAGATATTTCCTCCACTCTGTATCAAGTCTCTGGTTGTTCTTATAATACACATAAATGTTGATCCTACTCTGAATCCTGTGGCAGACAGTTCCATTGGCTAATCACAGAATAAAGACCTTCCCTGGATGCATTTCAACTAGGTCACAGTTCAAAAACACTGGGTCGCTAGTTGTCTTTGCCGGAAGTGAATAATGGTGCTCAGTTTATCAACTGGAGCTGACAACCTCTAGATGGGAAAGGCCCCATATCGTATGCCCTGACCTGTCTGGGCCAGCCAATTCCCTTGCCTTGTGTGTGGTTCAGAGACAGCACCCTCTAGAGCGAAAAAACCCCATATCCCAATCCCCACCACTCTAAGCTAGCTAGATCCCCTACCCTGGGGTCACATCAGCTGGTGCCCCCTAGAGGAGAAATGCCCATCTGCCACCGCCCTAAGCCAGCCAATCTCCCACCCCGGGGCTGGATTGGAGCTGGCACCCCCTACAAGGGAAAGGCCCCATGTCCTACTCCCCACCCCCATCAGAGGGCCAATCCCCTGCCCTGAGGCTAGATTGAAGGTGGCACCCACTAGAAAAGACAGGCTGCATGTCCCACGCCCCGCTGCCCTGAGCCAGCCAGTCTCCTGCCCTGGGGACTGATGGGAAGCGAGGACAGTGCCCCCTAGAGGGGAAATGCCCCATCTCCCAGTCCCCAGCACTCTGAGCTGGCCAGTTCCCCCACCTTGCAGCTGATTTGCAGCAGCATCTTATAGGAAGGAGAAGAGTGGGTAGTTGTATGATTGTTTGATGGCTTTAAGTTCTGGCTTTATTTCCCATATCATATTTCCCAGTCAAGTGTCTGATTTCCCACATCATTCCAATGCACTAAGCTGCGGCTGGAACACTTTCTAATTTCTATTTCCTCTGTAACTAACACACAATATATATATAATCCAAACCCCCTTTCATATGGCAATGCTCCTTGAGAGTCTTAAAGAGAAATCACAGATGGTTTTGTGGAGATGTGAGGAGTCTAAAATTTTCCTGTCTTTCAGTTTCAGAGCTTATCATAAAAATAAAGGGAAAGGTAAACACCTTTAAATCCCTCCTAGCCAGAGGAAAAACCCTTTCACCTGTAAAGGGTTAAGAAGCTAAGACAACCTCACTGGCACCTGACCAAAATGACCAATGAGGAGACAAGATACTTTCAAAGCTGGAGGGGGTGAGGGGCAGGAAACAAAGGGTTCTCTCTGTCTGTGTTGTCTTTTGCCAGGACCAGAGCAGGAATGCAGGTCAGAACTCCTGTAAAGGGTTAATAAGCAATCTAGTTAGATATGCGTTAGATTCTGTTTTGTTTAAATGGCTGATAAAATAAACTGTGCTGAATGGAATGTAGATTCCTGTTTTTGTGTCTTTTAGTAACTTAAGGTTTTGCCTAGAGGGATTCTCTATGTTTTGAATCTGATTACCCTCTAAGGTATTTACCATCCTGATTTTACAGAGGTGATTCTTTTACTTTTTCTTTCATTAAAATTCTTCTTTTAAGAACCTGATTGCTTTTTCATTGTTCTTAAGATCCAAGGGTTTGGGTCTGTGTTCACCTGTACAAATTGGTGAGGATTTTTATCAAGCCTTCCCCAGGAAAGGGGGTGTAGGGCTTGGGGGGATTTTGGGGGGAAAGATGTTTCCAAGTGGGCTCTTTCCCTGTTATTTTTGTTAGATGCTTGGTGGTGGCAGCAATAAGGTCCAGGGACAAAAGGTAAAATAGTTTGTACCTTGGGGAAGTTTTAACCTCAGCTGGTAAAAATAAGCTTAGGGGTTTTTCATGCAGGTCCCCACATCTGTACCCTAGAGTTCAGAGTGGGGAAGGAACCTTGACAGAGCTAGAGCAAATTACAGTCCAGGTTTTTAAGGGACATTGCTATAGTGTAGGGTCACATCCCAAATCTGTCCGAATAACACAAGAAGGGATCCAGTTAGTTTAGCAGCCAATGTCTGTAACCACACAACTCGTTTGGAAGGAAAAGAAAGCATTTACAGTATGATGAGAAGGGAAGATCAAATCAAAGAACTGGCAACAAAAGTTTATCTGGCATGAATTAAAATTGGAGATGGGAAATATTTTGTATAATCAGATTTAATTCAAATTTTAGAAGATAGTTTTCTCTAGTTCTATGGGAGAATGAGATTTCATGATTGATACTTGTCTACACCACAAGGGACATAAACCCACAGGTGGTTTCTCTAATGTAGTTGTCATAAATATAAAGGGAAGGGTAAACCCCTTTGAAATCCCTCCTGGCCAGGGGAAAGCTCCTCTCACCTGTAAAGGGTTAAGAAGCTAAAGGTAACCTCGCTGGCACCTGACCAAAATGACCAACGAGGAGACAAGATACTTTCAAAAGCTGGGAGGAGGGAGAGAAACAAAGGGTCTGTGTGTCTGCCTATATGCTGGTTCCGGTTCTGGTTCCGTCTGGGTCTCTGGGACTGGATCCACTACTGCTGTTGCAGACATTGGCCTGGGGTCCAGGTCCATCACTTCTGACCGGGTCCTGGTAGAAGTTTCCGGAACAGAGCTAGGCCTCACGGCTTGTTTAGCCTGGCTGCGGGTGACCGTTCCCACCCTCTTGGCCTGTTTCACATGATTGGCCAAGTCTTCCCCCAACAGCATGGGGATGGGATAATCATCATAGACTGCAAAAGTCCACATTCCTGACCAGCCCTTGTACTGGACAGGCAACTTGGCTGTAGGCAAATCGAAAGAGTTGGACTTGAAGGGTTGAATCGTCACTTGGATCTCTGGGTTGATTAAATTGGGGTCCACTAAGGAAGCATGGATAGCTGACACTTGTGCTCCAGTGTCCCTCCACGCAGTGACCTTCTTCCCACCCACACTCACAGTTTCCCTCCGCTCCAAGGGTATCTGGGAGGTATCTGGGCCTGTGGACCTCTGGTGTGATTCTGGTGCAATGAACTGTAATCTGTTGGGGTTCTTGGGGCAGTTGGCCTTTACATGCCCCAGCTCGTTACATTTAAAACATCGTCCAGCTGATGGGTCACTGGCGCGAGGAGGGTTGCTGGAGAACGGGGTGGTGGGACGATAAGGGGTCTGGAGGGTTCTTTGGGAGGTAGGTGGGGCTTTGGGCGGCCCCCGGTAATAGGGTGGGGTCTGGGGTTGTCCCTTCTGGTCTCCGCTCCAACTGCGACCAGTTTTCTTCTTCTCTGCCACCTCCACCCATCTGGCTCCAATCTCTCTCAGTTTTGTTCAATATCTTCATAAATGATCTGGAGGATGGTGTGGATTGCACTCTCAGCAAATTTGCGGATGATACTAAACTGGGAGGAGTGGTAGATACGCTGGAGGGGAGGGATAGGATACAGAAAGACCTAGACAAATTGGAGGATTGGGCCAAAAGAAATCTGATGAGGTTCAATAAGGATAAGTGCAGGGTCCTGCACTTGGGACGGAAGAACCCAATGCACAGCTACAGACTAGGGACCGAATGGCTAGGCAGCAGTTCTGCGGAAAAGGACCTAGGGGTGACAGTGGACGAGAAGCTGGATATGAGTCAGCAGTGTGCCCTTGTTGCCAAGAAGGCCAATGGCATTTTGGGCTGTATAAGTAGGGGCATAGCGAGCAGATCGAGGGACGTGATCGTTCCCCTCTATTCGACATTGGTGAGGCCTCATCTGGAGTACTGTGTCCAGTTTTGGGCCCCACACTTCAAGAAGGATGTGGATAAATTGGAGAGAGTCCAGCGAAGGGCAACAAAAATGATTAGGGGACTGGAACACATGAGTTATGAGGAGAGGCTGAGGGAGCTGGGATTGTTTAGCCTGCAGAAGAGAAGAATGAGGGGGTTTTCAACTACCTGAAAGGGGGTTCCAAAGAGGATGGCTCTAGACTGTTCTCAATGGTAGCAGATGACAGAACGAGGAGTAATGGTCTCAAGTTGCAGTGGGGGAGGTTTAGATTGGATATTAGGAAAAACTTTTTCACTAAGAGGGTGGTGAAACACTGGAATGCGTTAAACACTGGAATGCGTTAAGAGGGTGGTGAAACACTGGAAAGGTGGTAGAATCTCCTTCCTTAGAGGTTTTTAAGGTCAGGCTTGACAAAGCCCTGGCTGGGATGATTTAACTGGGAATTGGTCCTGCTTTGAGCAGGGGGTTGGACTAGATGACCTACTGGGGTCCCTTCCAACCCTGATATTCTATGATTCTATGATTCTCCTGCCTCGATCACAGTTTTGGGCTTCCCATCTAGGATGTATCTTTCTATTTCCTCAGGAACACCCTCTAAGAATTGTTCCATTTGCATTAGGAAGGGCAAATTTACTGGAGATTCAACACTTGCTCCTGATATCCAGGCATCCCAATGTTTCACAATGTGGTAGGCATGTCGGGTAAATGACATGTCTGGTTTCCACCTTAGGGCTCTGAACCTCCGACGAGAATGCTCGGGTGTTATCCCCATTCTGACTCTCGCCTTGGATTTAAACAGTTCATACTCATTCATGTGTTCTCTAGGCATTTCAGCCGCCACCTCAGCTAAGGGTCCACTGAGCTGTGGCCTCAGCTCTACCATGTATTGGTTGGTAGAGATGCTGTACCCAAGGCAGGCCCTTTCGAAGTTTTCTAAAGAGGCCTCAGTATCATCACCTGCCTTGTAGGTGGGGAACTTTCTGGGATGGGAAGTGGTACCTGGAGAAGGATTGCTAGGGTTTGTTGGTATATTCTGCTGAGCCTTTATCTTCGCCACATGCTTCCTCTCTTTTTCTTTCTCCTCCTCCACATGCTTCCTTGCCTCCATTTCCCTCTTGTGGGCAGCCTCCTGTACCTTCTTCTCCAGCCGCATGAGTTCTATCTGTCTTTCCTGTTCCCTTTGTTTTTCCTCAGCCTGAAATGTGGCTAATTCCAGCTGTAGTCGAGCCGCGGATTTTGTCATTCTAACCTCTCTGTTTTTAACTAACTTTACACCCGAGGTTTAGAAATAAACAAACAAAACTTGGCTGTAAAATTTTGCTGTGCTGGAATAGAATACCTATTCTCTGACAGTGATTGTCAGCCTACAGAAAAAGACAATTCCCTTGTCTCTGCTCTGGGCCCAAATCAAAGCAAAAAACCTCCAACTACTTGGAAACCTGCTTACCCAGCCCAAAGAAAAAGCAAATGGGTAGAACACACCACCCCTATTTTCTTTTAGGAAGAAAAAAAAAAAAACTCTGGGTTGGAAGACTGAATTTCCCTGCAGGAGTTAAGTATCCTGCCTCCAGGCAAAGAAAACCTGCAATTCACAAAGATAATCCCCTTTTGTCTCTGCTTGGCCACAAAGCAGAGAAAAAACAAGCTGCTTTCAGTTTCAGCTGCTTTCTGGACTTCCTTTCCAAAGGAAAAAAAATTTCCTTTTTAAAATCTGTATTTCTAGTTCAAAAAATCTCAACTGGATCTCAGAATGATTTCAGGTTAATCCCACCACTATGCCACCATGTCAAGGTTCCTTCTCCACTCTGAACTCTAGGGTACAGATGTGGGGACCTGCATGAAAAACCTCCTAAGCTTATCTTTACCAGCTTAGGTCAAAACTTCCCCAAGGTACAAAATATTCCACCCTTTGTCCTTGGATTGGCCGCTACCACCACCAAACTAATACTGGTTACTGGGGAAGAGCTGTTTGGACGCGTCTTTCCCCCCAAAATACTTCCCAAAACCTTGCACCCCACTTCCTGGACAAGGTTTGGTAAAAAGCCTCACCAATTTGCCTAGGTGACTACAGACCCAGACCCTTGGATCTTAAGAACAATGAACAATCCTCCCAACACTTGCACCCCCCCTTTCCTGGGAAATGTTGGATAAAAAGCCTGACCAATTTGCATAGGTGACCACAGACCCAAACCCTTGGATCTGAGAACAATGAAAAAGCATTCAGTTTTCTTACAAGAAGACTTTTAATAAAAATAGAAGTAAATAGAAATAAAGAAATCCCCCCTATAAAATCAGGATGGTAGATATCTTACAGGGCAATTAGATTCAAAAACATAGAGAACCCCTCTAGGCAAAACCTTAAGTTACAAAAAAGATACACAGACAGAAATAGTTATTCTATACAGCACAATTCTTTTCTCAGCCATTTAAAGAAATCATAATCTAACACATGCCTAGCTAGATTACTTACTAAAAGTTCTAAGGCTCCATTCCTGGTCTATCCCCAGCAGAAACCAGCATATAGACAGACACACAGACCCTTTGTTTCTCTCCCTCCTCCCAGCTTTTGAAAGTATCTTGTCTCCTCATTGGTCATTTTGGTCAGGTGCCAGCGAGGTTACCTTTAGCTTCTTAACCCTTTACAGGTGAGAGGAGCTTTCCCCTGGCCAGGAGGGATTTCAAAGGGGTTTACCCTTCCCTTTATATTTATGACAGTAGTGATTAGCATCTTGGTCTAACATCTGACAGGTCTCTGGTTTGAAACAAAGCAGAGATGATACATTTTCCTTATTTTGTTCAATTGTTCTTGTTTTAAATGTAGT